GCAAATATTGGTCTTGTTTTAAAATTATCTCTAGAGACATGAGAATGAAACACACATTGATTATAGACCTCCTTTGTCATTTTTCTCTAGAATCTGGCCATCATCTGTTTTATTAGTACTTTTTGTTGTTGTTTTTAGTTTAATTCCTTGATTGATGCTTGTAAATTGCCCTGAGCGAGTAGTTTTCTTATGTCCCTCTGGCTAAAGTGGTACAATCAACAATAACAACAGCATCAAACAAAGCTCAAAAAATGACAAACTGAGGTCACCATTAATCTGCCACCTTTAACCATATGAACTAGATTTATGGTTATATAATAAAATCTAAAACAAAGCAGAAAATTTTATGCAGTAAATAAGCTCTCAACATGCCAATTTTACCCTCGAGAGAAAATTTAGAAGAGATTAGGGTAAAAATAGAGATAGAAGAGGAAGACATTAGAAGCAATGCTGGAAGACAAAGAAAGATCATATAAACTTTGGGAAATTGGTGCAGAAGACAGAAGAAAAAGAGAGAAGGAGGAAATAAAAAGAGTAACAACTAACACACACAAAAAAAACTAGAAACCACATTCACACTCAAAAAACAAAATAAACAATGAAGAGAAGAAAACACAGAAAAAGAGAGGGAAAAAGTCCGCTTCAAGGTTGGTCTCTGCTGTCACTGGTAGACAATGTGTGGAGGCAGACTCCAGATCCAGGTTGATTTATCCCAGAGAGCCTGCAGGTATCGCATGGCATCGGGTAATTTCAGTGAGCCTGCTTCTTTATTTCTCCTGAAGTTCAGGCAGGTTTTTATGCAGCTTCTGCAGACTTGAACTCAGCTGGGAGCTGCTAGATTGAGCCAGCGTTTGCTCTGAGTTCTGAGCTCAGCTGGCCCTTCACCAAGATGGCTTGCGACCAAGTGCCCTCTCCTGATGGATGGCCAGATGCAAATGGAACATGTCTGCAGGAATTTAAGAGACCCAAAGGTACCTCCAAGGATACCTTTGTAAATACAGCTTTGTTAGCTGTGCACCTATTACAATAGCCAAAATCCAGATCATCAACACCATCAAAGCCTAGCGAGGATGTGGAACAACAGAAATGCTCACGCATTGGTGAAAACACAAAATAGTGCACACACTTGGCCAACAGTCTGCTGTTGATTATAAAATTAAACACACTTTTACCATATTATGTAGCAATCTTGCTCCTGGGCACTTACCCAAACAAGTTAAAAACTTACATCCACAAGAAAACTTGCACATAGATGTTTATAAATAGTGTTGTTCATAATTGCTCAGACTTGGCAAGAAATGAAGCTGGTCTTCCATGGATAAATGAACTGTGCCACATCCTGAACAGTATTCAGTGCTAAGAGGAAATGAGCTATCAAGCCATGAGAAAACAGGCAGGAACCTTAAGTGCATATTTACTAAGTGAAAGAAGTCAACCAAAAAAGGCTACATGTTGTGAAATTCCAACTATCACATTCTGGAAAAGTCAGAAGTATGGAGGTTAAAAAAAAGCAGAGGTTTTCAGGAGTCAAAAATAAGGGATAATGATTTTTACCACAGTGAAACTCTTCTTTATGAAACTACAGAGGTATGATACCATAGTGGTGGACACATGTTACTATAAAACCCATAGAAGGCACACTGAAAGTAAGTCGAAGTATAAACTGGCTATAGAGACTGGCTGATTGCAATGCATCATGTAAGCTCATCAGTGTTAACAAATGTACTGTTTCCAGGAGGTGCTGATATTGGGGAACAATTTATGAGCAGAGCAGGGGGCAGAGGGGGAATCTCTGTGAATCACTCTCTCGCCCTCCCTTCTTTTTCTTTTTGAGGTGCTGGGATAAATCTCAGGGCTTGGCAAATGCTAGGCAGGCACTTTACTATGAGCTAATCCCAAATCCTGTGTTTTCTTTCTGTAAATAGACTTTACTTTTTAGAGAAATTTAGACTCACAGCAAAACTGAAGGAAAATTGCCTTCCACTGCAAAGATGTGACATACATAAGGAAGACTAACTGATTCAGGCATGAACTTGAATCTTCAAGCACTGATCTCTTGGATATCCAAGGAAGACTAAGCATTTTATCCAGAGAAACACTAAAAGCTCAATTTTCTATTGTATTTTAAAACATCTGAAAATTCCAAGGGATCTCTCTTTCTCACTTTCTCTCCCCAAAGAACTCCCATCCTCCTGCCTGAGTAGCCTTCCCAGGAGGGGAAGGTCTTAGTTCTCCCTGATCAATTTTATCCTAAGTATGGCAGCTTTGTCCCTTACTCAGAGAGAATAGAACAGCATAACTATAGTCCACAAAATTCAGAGAAAGATTGTGAGACCTCAACAGGTAAAAACAGTTTCCCTACGGTAAACCACCACTATTATTCCTATAATGCTCAAACATCTCCACCACTGTCTATTTTGTTTTCTTCCTCAGCTGGTGCAGAAAGCAGGTAGGAAGAAGTTCTCAAACAACAACAAAGGCCAACCATAACTCTCTTGGAAATCTCGAAAGCAATGGCTCAGTAGCTTTGCGTTACTCTCTTGCATCGCTGAGGCTTATGGGGTCTGGGATCACCGAGGCTGCATGCCCAAGTCCAGATTTGCACAGGATTCCTCCACTGGTGACTCTGCTCCAACACTATTGATTTTGTGGTACAATTCCGTGGAAGGCCCTGCTCCCCACACAATGTCACCACTCTCTTGGTCTACATGCAAGGGCATACTAGATCAGGCAGGCTCAACCTCTAGAGTACATTTTCCTCCAACTATAGAAAGCCCTCTCCCTAGCACTGACATCTTCTATTCTTCACATCTTTCTGTCCTGACCCAAAATCTCTCAGTGCTGCACAGAGCCCGAGTCAAATACATAACTACTTGGGGAAAGCAAGCAAACATGCACAAAGAAGTACCCCCAAGGCTCCCCTCACAATGTCCTATGATATCTGCCAGCTTCATGCCCCAGGCTTGTGACTATGGCCTCTTACAAGGGCTTTCTAGCACTGCATGAGCTGCAAAACAGCAGCTTTGATCAAGCTGTAGGACTCACTGTCAAGAGTTATAAAACCAGGGCTCCCTGGAATCCCCAGGTCACGATGACACTTTCAGAGCTAGCCACAAATTCAGGTGCTGGAGCAGTAGCCAATCTACAGTCTTCTGATTGTTGGGAGACCCTCTCTGAGCCACTCATGTCCTCATAAAATCCAGTACATCACCAAGTCTTATGATCACATTTCTCAAAATTCTGTTCTTTCTATTTATTCCCCTCCTATTCTTTTGTGGGTCTTTGGCATCTCTAATAGCAAACATTATTGACTCCTCTTGCTCCCAATGTCCATCCTCAGATGTCACCACCAGAATTACACAGTGAACATGCCAGGCACAACACTTGCTCCTCACAGCTGCACAGCACAAGGGTAAGAGTGTAGATGTTCATATCATGCAAGCCCATGTTCCAACGCTGCCAACCTCCCTGCACCATGCCAGACTCTCCACAAACCGAACTGGGAACACTGCAAGTGTCTGCCTTGTCAATCTGAAAGGACTAGGTGAACAGATGCACACACAGCTCCTGACATGATGTTCTGGCATCTAGTATGTGCTCCAGGTATGTTTACTACTTTGCATGTGCCACATATTTAAGCCCTTGCAAATTCTGGTCGCAGAAGACCTTTCCTACTAATCCATACAATGGATGCAACTCCCTCATCTTGCCCTGTGACCTATAAAAAGGGGCTACTTCTCTGGCGCCTCAGTGGAATATTAGAATTTTATTGTTACCTCTCGTGCCCTTGTCTTCAAATTATAAAAAGAATACTGAGAGTTTTATGAATTTCAACAATCTTTCATTAAAACACAGTACTCTAAAATAACCAGAGATGGTAGGTTTCCTTCTGAAGTCACTATGTTTTGATATCTAATCACCTATACCTCTAAGAATAAACTTTCCAACCTAAAACATGCTTCTGCTTTGAACACCTACACGATACTCTTCTCAGATGCACCAGAAGAGGGAGTGCCTGCACCATGCAGCTACTGCCAATCCCCCTTTGTTGGGTCAGTTACTTGTTCCAGAATTACTGATCCAATGCTAGCATTTTCTTGTATTGTCAGATGCCCAGGAGATGAAAGTGGCTTTTCACCAACACTTCACCTAGGCACTGCCTATGCTTATTACCAAAATAATTTCTTTCGTGATTTTCACAAGATCTAGATTCTAACTGTAGACTACAAGATTTAAGTTACCTCAGTTCCAAGTTTCTTGGCATGCTTTGCCTGACTCCTCTGGCCCATGTCCAGCAGAGGTGGACAGAGTGCCCAAGCGCATGGACACAACACCCAAGCTGCCTACATTCAGCCCTTGACATGTGTAAGTGACCTCGGTTCCTTCATCTGTAATATGGGAACAACCAGAGCATCTGGCACCTAGGTCACTGTGAGGATTAAATGAGTCTGAATAGACCAAGGGCTTAGAAACACGTCTGGTGATCTATGAATACTCCATGCAGTGAGGCTCCCACGGCTGCCACCTGTAGTTATTACTCTGAAGTGCTGTCGACAAGGAGGGGAGGAGCAGACACAAAAAACTGTCCTACTGAAAGCAGCCTGACAAAGGGAACACCGTCCATCCAGTGCATTCTACCTAAGGCAAACACTTCCAGCAATGGCCACAGGAGAAACAGCAATACAAAATTCCAACTGGAAAAGATTACTTATTTACCTTAGATTTTACTATCAGAATCTCAGGGTGGTTAGAAACCCACATAAATAAGAAAACACAAAGCTGGAATAGCTATGGATGGATCATATGCAGCCCCGAACACCACTCACACTACCGAGATTGTTATTAGTGGGGACGCTGGGGTGCTCAGTGGTACCTAGAAATACTGCCCCGCCACCTGAAGCAGTTGACTATAATAAATCTTACATCACAGATTTACACATTCCCCAAAGTAACAATATTTTTCCACTGCTATCATTTTCATAGCTCTCTACCCACATTACCTGAGTTCGTTTTTATGAACTTCCATGATTTTTCTCTCCAGCTTCTGTGACTGCTTGGGGAAAATCTCAAACTCACTTATGTAATTCTCAAGATGCTCATCAGGATCATAATCACCAAGCTCGGCTGTAACCAGTAAAAAACGAAAATAAGATTAAAGACACTACAAGCAGGCTGTTGCCTGCCATCCAAAAGAACAGCCTGGACTGTGCTCCCTAGCCCCAAAGTGCATCTGTGCCCGTGCGCAGACCACAGTTTGAGTGTGGAGGCCAGTGATGGTGAACCTTTCAGAGCTGTCAACAACAAATAGCTGGGCGGCACCTGCGCTACAGGCTCACCACCACTGCCTTAGACTCTAGACTCGCCCCAGGATCAGATTTAGCTGTCTGACTTTGGACACAACCTCCTCTGTGTTTCCTTCTCTTATTTTACATATCAAAACAGTTTACATCAGTGTTTCTCACTGGGGGCACCACTGGTATTTGGAGGGGTTAAAAAGTTTATTATTTCAGATTGCCCACCGAAGTGTAGGATACTTAGCATTTCTATCCTTCAGGCACTAAATGTCAGTAGCATAATCACTGTTACCATGATGGTTAATCTTGACTGTCCACTTGATTGGCTTAAGAAACACCTAGGGAATTAGTAAAGCACCACTGTGAGCAGTGTAGGAAGGTCGTGGGGACATGAATCTGAGAGCACATATCTGTCTCTTCCTCTCTTGCACTGTCCCCTTGCTTTGCTTTCTGGCCACCATGAACTGAGCATCTTTGCTCCACCACCCCCCACACCATGATGCCTCTGCCTTGGAACCAGCGAACCATGGGACCCTTTGAAACTGTGAGCCAAGTTAAACCTCTTCTCCTTTAAATTTCAGGTGTTATTTTGTTCCAGCAACAAGAAAGCTGACCAATTCAATGATCATCAAGAATATCATGCCAAAAAGTTAGGCAAAGGACACAAAATATCAGGTAGATATGAACATGTTCAAGAAATCTGTAGTACAATGGAGTGACTATAAGTAAAAAATATATATTGTATATTCAGAAGTCTCTGGCAGTATTAATTTTAAATGTTTCCATCACAAAATTGATAAATCTATGAGGTAATGCATATTAATTAGCTCAGTTCAGTCACTAAACAATGTATACCTATTTCAGCATCATGTACACTATACATATGATATTTATTTGTCCATTAAAAATTGAAAAACAAACTCTCCAATATTTCCAGTGTTCCCAGGATATCTATCTATCTGGGCTGCTGGCTCTGAGGTTTCTGCAGCACAGCTCATTCAGTGAAAAAAATGTCATAATATGAAGGAACTTAAGGGGGACTGCACTTAAAAACAAATGGATCACACTTCAAATTAAAGAGCATACCTAAATACAAAATAGCACACTGGATTTAGGTGTTGCCTTTTTTCCACAAGGAACTTCTGGGATTCTTCCAGAGTGAAGAGAAATGCCTGGATCTCTCAAGCACCTTGAGCACTAAGGAGAGGTGGGTGTCCAGCCCACAGTCTGGAGGAGCAAACGTGATGTCTGGCAATGGAACACCATTACAGATTCCATACCAGTGATGAAAACGAGACACAAAAGCAAGTATCTTGGGCAGAAATGGGAGACACAGCCCAGGAAGGAAAATAAAGATGGTGACAGTAGACAAACTTTTTCACCCACATGATTCTGATGTAGGAAAAATTAGTATGTCTGGAGCATATCTGAAGAATCAGCATATCTGAAGATGTGCTCTCATCTCTCCAACTTATTTCTACTGTTTCAAATTGCAGTTCTTCAGAAAACCTAAAGATGTATATATACCACATGAGAAAGGGGTTTTTTAAAAAATAAGATTTGATATGCTATTGATCATGGAATGGAAAGTGATTAATTTGACAATACCAAAATTAAATGTTACTAATCATGGAAACACATTATGGACAAATAAGAGATGTCAAGTTGAAAGAATTTATTTGCAAACTCTAACATTTACAACAGCTAATACCCACAATAAAGAGAAAATCTTTGTAAGTCACAGAAAAATGGGCAGGAAGATGAATAGAGAAATAGTCAAAGACATGAATCGGCAATTCGCGAGAGGTGAACTGCTAACGGTTGGTGAGACGTCCAAACTCACTAGTAATCAAGACACGAAAACCAAAACAAGACGTCACTTTGCGTCTATAACACTATCAAACACTAGGACGTTGGCAAAACATAAGGAAACAGAAAGACTTATGCACTTTTGGGGATTCTGAATACATATTCTTCTAGAAAGCAAGGTAGGAGTAGCTAGGCAATATTATAACTCAGAAATCTCTCTTCTGGGCATACATCCTAGAAAAACTCTGGGTACAAGAAATGATATGTGTGAAGTATTTTTGAATCACGGGATCCTCAGGTGTTTGTAGTTGGCTGGACTGATAAGTAAAACATGAGAGACGCCCCCAACAGGACATCTGTGGTGGTTAGAAACAGTGAAAGATATTCCTAGCAACATAAGAGAGTTCTCCAAAAACAGTATGCTGAGCATTAAAGGAAGAGATGAGATAGGTCTATAGCCCCACTTAATTTATGAAACTTATACACAAATTGCTTTATAAAGCAATATGCCAAGGCAAAGGTGACTGTGATCCTAACTGTCTTCAGGGGAAAAAAAGAACAAAAGAATGGAAATCAACTGATGGACAGATGGGCCCAAGGGGACCAATGATGAACAAGAACCATGAACTGATGATCAGAATCTAAGTTCCAAAAGAAGTACAGATAACATGCCCACATGCATATAGGTACACATGTGTGGCCCTCCCTGGAACTAAGTACTTAGGCAATGGTCCAATCCAATGCCTCTATTTCCCACAGGTGATCAACCTCAGTACAAAGCTCAGTCATCTTCAGAGCACCTGTCAGCTTGGAGAGGGGCTGGCGAGGGCAGGCCATGTTTGTGGGGAGTATTTCTCTTTCCAGGAAAACTCATGAGATACAATAGACTTGTAACTATAAATACTACAAAAAGAAACCAGAAAATGACAGAGAGAAAAAAAAGAGAAGAAATGAGTGGAGAGTGCACAGGACTCCAGATATAGGACATCCTAGTCTCCAGAAGGAGGTCCTCTCCTTTAGGAGCCTTGCCTGGCCTATACTTTCTGGTGTAAAGCTTGCCTGAGACTGCTCACAGCAGGGACTTAGCCTGTGTGTCCCCCCTAGTTTGGTCACAGACACATCATCATGATGGCTTATTTATCCGTCTATCTTCCTGCAAGGACATGTACTGCAGTGCCTGCCACTAAGTAGCTACTCAAGAAATGCCTGGAGAACCATGAACACATAGATAAACAAGGTAATGAGTATCTTCACAATAGGCAGCCAACTGATTTCTCCCTATGATAAAGAGAAAGCATTCACTGGAGCAACTGAGGCAAGTATCTTGACTTCTCAGATTTTGTGGGAAGGCTACTATATGTCAGACACAGGAAGACTGCATTGAAAAACGCTCCTTGAGACTCCTTGCTATGGAACTGGACCCTATTTTAGAAAATGTCCCCCCATGTACATGCCACAAAGCTCAGTCCTCAGGGGATGTCACTGGGAGGTAAACATTAAGAAGTGGAGTGCAGTAGAAGGTATTTGAGGAACTGGGGTGTCCACCAAGGGGACTGTGGTGTGTGGCCTCTTTCACCTGCTTTCTGTTCCTGGCTTATGCTGGGGTGAGCGGTTGCGCTCTGCCACAGGCTCTGGCCATGCGATGCAGCCCCAAATCAGCAGAGCCAATCAACTATGGACAGGAATCTCCAAAACTGAGCCAAATTATATTTTTCTCTTTGTAAATTGATTTATCTCAGGGATTTGATACAGTGGTGGAAAGCTGACTAATACAGAAGGAAACACAAAAGAAGTCCAGACCCAACTCAGCGAGATAATTTCAGGCATTTATGAGACAACCAAACAGGGATGTAGGAAAGAATGACAGGCAGGAGGGAGGCTTCCTTGGACAGATTGGGAAGACTTCTTTGAAGAAGAGACAGGAAAAGCAATTTATATAAAATAAACAAATAAACAGATCCCAAAGGTATGTTTGTTTTACAACTTGTATTATGAAATAAAATACACTCTGTATGTATTGAACTTATTTGCTGGATTCAGTAACCACAGGTAGCAAAGCTCTGGGTGATGTTTACACACATTGCATACACCAAAGCCTAAAACACACTCCTCAGAAAGACAGCAGCAAGCTTGACAATGATCTCTCTCATGGCCACTGCTCTTGAATCAGCGACACCACCTTCCCGTCACTGTGTGAGAATGTTTGGCTCTGACAAAGCCCATTTTTACCTGCATTTGTTCCTAACCTCCAGAACTACTTGCATATTGACCCTGAGAATCAGAGAAGGCTAAGAACCCACCTTTACTGAACTTGCCCCAAGTGACTCAGAGACAAGAATGCATTTTAGAGATGAAAGGTCCCTTCAAGGTCAACCAGTCCATTTCCAACTCTCCTTCCTCTCCCACTGTGTGTGGTCTGTGATAATAGCCATGAGGGATGAATGAGGGTCCAGCTTCTGGGTGGAGCCTTTGTGGCTTTATTTCAAACGCAACAGAGGATGGAGAACTTTCCATTACAGATCTATACTGAGCTTGTGCTTGGAGACGTGACAATAATTCACTGATGCTTAAATGCTTTCTAAAATCCTCATATGCTGGCCTGCTGCTTAGATTAGTATTGATTCCCATTTCCCTCCAGAGACAGTGCCCCTAACTAGTCACGTGCCTTTTCCATTGCTAAGGAAGATTACAGCGAGGTCTAATAACTCTTCACTCTGGGGGCAAACAAGGCGGCTTTCAAAAGCATGATCTTCCCTTGGAAATCCTGAGAACCCCTCACAGCTGCAGAACACTCCTAGCTACTGAACACTGCAATATCCCAAGGAGTTTTCTGTGCTGCCAAAATCTGCTACATAGCAGTGGGTACTTCCCAGAGAAGAGGAAAAAGCAACACACAAAAGCCACTTCAAAATTCCCAGAGACCAAGCACATTTGGAAACATGACAAAGGGACTATTTCCCAGCTCAGGGCATCCCACAGGGCCAGCGGGGGCCCAGGGAGATTCCCAGGAGAAACAGGGGATTCTCCCTGAAGTGATGAATGAAGTCTGGCATTGTGATGTGCAGCTTCCTATGACACATTTTGGCTCATCACGAGCTCCTATGTTTTTCTTTCTAGATCCATCACAGCACTGACAGACTCTCAGTGCTGCCTTGTTCCCCTTTCCCCTTCCTGTCACCCCCTCCTTCTCACTCATAAACATGTCATTAGCACCCATGATACAAATGGCTATCATTAAGGTCCCTCCAGACTGCCCGGGGGGCCAGCTGCCTTCCACCAAGCCAAGGGCAATAGAACCCCTGGGCTTGCTGCTTCTGGTCATGGAGGCTCCACTGCCAGACACTGTTTCCCAGGAGAATCACTCGGAAGCCACCCAGGTCAGTGCACTTGCTGCTCCTGGTGTCCCCAGCTACGGGCATGTTCAACCCTAAAAGATGGGCAGCCATTGCTGATGGATCTGGCCTCTCCTGGTGAAGTCTCAGTGACCAAAGTTGAGGTATGACAAACCTGCTCATGACACATAGACGCCAGGGCTTAGGGAACTAGTAATTTGTCTATGGTGAAATAACCAGGAAGGGGAAAGAAAGATTCAAACTGGGTTGTGACAGCTTGTGAACCTGCTGCTTGTCTCACTTCTCATATACAGGGCTAGAAAAACTGTGCAATTAGATACACTACACAGATATTCATGTACACGGTACATACAAATGTACACATCACATATGAAATATGTATGTGAGGGTGTCAGGAAAGACCTTTGTTTGAAACCTACCTTCCTCCACGCGTTTGTGAGGCCCCACACTGGTGGATCAGAGCTCAGAACAGAAACCCACACCACTTCGGAGCTTGTAAAACTACAAGTTCACCTCTTATGAAAGAGACCCCAGGACTCATACTGTAGGGCCTGAAAGGTGCTTTGTATTTACAGAGGCCACTGCAACCACCTCAGCCCAGCTTCCTACTAGAACCGCAGTGGCTCAGGAGGAAAGTTGAGGGAAAACCGAGGCCTCTGCTGCTGAGAACAGTCCCAGCCAGCCTTTAATGACAGATGCAGAAAACATAGGTGGTACCTGTGGGCAGAGCTCGGCAGACCAACGCAGTGCCGGCAGTGGGCACTGGTGCTAGACTTACCTTGAATGATACAGGCACCCAGGTAGGCAGCATCGGAAAAGGAGCACAGCAATCGACCATGAAAAATATCACGTTTGATTTGTAAATACAAAAGGTACCTGCAACACAAGGGACAAACAGTTGCACTAAGTTTGACAGAAGCCTGGAGGAGAAGGGCTGCCCATGCAGGGTTCACCTACATCACCAAAGCCCTATACACAGTCACTGGAGCACCCAGCCTCTCCTAGACAAGCAGGGAAACGGGGGGTTTTCAGAATGTTGAAACTCAATGTCTGGGCAAACAGATCCCCTCAGCCTCTAAAGAGGCCTGAGGAAAGCTCAGAAGACACAGGGCCCTATAGCCACTGTCCCCAAACGGTAACAGCCATGCCCCATCACCTCCACTTCAGGTCCCTATTGCCCAAATTCTATTTGAAATGTAGAATCAAGAATGCATTGAATTCAGGTAACAAGACAACCTCATCATCTCTCAGGGGTGGATGGACTCACATTCATCCATCAAACAAGCACCATGCTAAGGACAGAAAGGCAGCGGATTTGCAGGTGGAGCTGGCTATCAGCCCAGCCCACTGCTTCCCAGGGTCAGGCAAACCTACTGCCAGAGGAAGGATGGTCTAAGGGGCCTCAGGGGTAGGGGAGGCCAAACAGGCTTCCTATGGCAGGCAGGGATCAGCCAGCACTCAGCTCCAGCCACTGTCATCTCTCAGGAAGGCAGAAGAGATGTTTCTGAGACTGAATTTACAAGTGAAATCTCTGAGTTTTTAAATGCCATGCCACTGTTTCTAAAAACATAGCAGCACCGAATAAAAATCATCCAGGAGTCCCCACTCTACAATCTGCAACTCAGGCTCACCTTGTCCTCATCCTTTTTGTGTCCTCTCTGCTGGGCAAGACCTCTACAGATTTCCTGGTCATTCTTGGATAGGTTAATTCTTTTATTCCAGGTTCAAGCCTGGCATCTATTGTTTCTGATCAAAGTCAGCTTCTTTCTAGATTTACTGTAGCATTTAAGTCCTAAAAATAAATTTCATTTTTTTCTTCCCATGTTCTTGGGGGCTGAGACCCCTCTCAACCAGTACTAGTGACCACCATGTGATGGTGCATTGTATGTGTCAACTTGACTAGACCATGGGATGCCCAGATAGCAGCTAAACATTATTGGGTGTCTATGGGGGCATTTCCAGAAAGGATCAGCATCTGATCTCAGAATTTGAACTGAGCAAAGCCAAAGGCCCTCCCTACGATGGGAGGACATCATTCAGACTGCTGAAGACCAAAGAAAACAGACAGAGGAAGACTGAATCCACTCTGCTTGACTGTGAGTGGGACAACCATCTTCTCATCCTCAGTGCTGCAGTTCCTAGGTCGTGAGACCTGGACTGGACACTAGGCCACAAGGGTACACATCAGCCCTTCAGACTATGCACTGGCTGTCCTGGACTGCCAGCTTGGCGGCTGTGGGATTTCTCAGCCTCTATACTCATGTGAGTCAATTCCTTGTAATAAGTGTTGACAGGTAGTTAGATAGACAGATAGACTCTAAGATAGAAATACTATTGGACACTTCTGTGGGAGACTGATACACACACCAGTGATTAAGGGATTTGATCTTAACTCAGCCTTATAAGAAGCAACATACACAAGTCTCATTTTAAAGGCAAAGAAACGGAGAATCAGAGAAAGAGTGGTTAGCATGCTTGGGTCCCAGCGACTTTGCCTGCCACAGAGCCTAGCACTGTGGGCCTCGGGCACTGAACCATATGGGATGGATGGAGGTACTCCGTGGCTAACTGAGTTCTCATTCAGAAGTTTTCATCTTCATACCCGCTTCCTGCTATCATTGTGTTAAACACAGAGGACGCAGCATGGGCTTAGATAACAGTCTGGTCTCATTTTACAAAAGAACTGTGTGCAGGGAAGAAAGTCCCTAACACACTTTGTATTCACTTTGGTGTGCTTTTGGTCAAAGGAACAATATTATACTTGGTAGGAAAAGACTTGGACTAACTCCTAAAATAATGCCACTCCACCTGAATAAGCACACAAATTACTGAGGCCAGTTGTGAAAATGGGGGCTCTGACTCAGTAAGTTTGGTGGGGGAGGGGGAAAACTCGATATTTCTGACAACACTGCTCCAAGACCACGCTCTGAGTAACACAACTGTAAACCTATGGTTCTCATCTCCAACTGTGAAAAGTGAAAACAACCCAAACTGCTCACCAGCTGATGAATGTATAAAGTGAACACAATGTATAAAGTGAACATGCAGTAGACTACCCAATCATAAAGATGAATAAAATACTGATAAACACTACCACACAGATGAATTTTGAAAGCATTATGATACATAAAAAGAAGAGAGACACAAAGGTCACATAATGTATGACTGCACTTACAGGAAATGTACAAGAAAGATAAATCTACAGAGACCAAAAATAAGGTCCTTGGTTTTCAAGGACTGAATGACAGGGAGAACATAGGCTGACACTTGGATTGGAGACATGCCACTAGAGTGATGAAAAGATTCTGGGATTAGACCATGGCAGCAGTGACACAAATGTGTGAGCACACCAAAAACCACTAAACTGCACACATTAAAACCTGCCAAAAGAAATTTTTCAAAATCCAAACTGTTTCAGAATAACAGTGCTCAATATTTGGCAGAATTTCAAATTACCTTGAAAACTTAGGAAAATACAGATTGCCGGCCCTGGAGTTACAGGACCAGGGACCAAGAATCTGTAACAAATGTCCAAATAATCTGATGTGACATGGCCCTAGAGCATTCAGAATATCACAGTCACACAATACTTAGAATGCCCAGATCTTTAAAGACTAAATACCAGGCCAAATGCCGTGAGGTTGGTTTCTTTCCTGATTGATGAATGTATGCATTGAAATAAAACATTTCTACTTTTTGAGCAATTTGGTAGTGAAAAACAGCTTAAACAACTATTCATATGAGAGGTTTGAGGTCTAATTCATAACTCAGAAATCAGGTTTTATGAAATCAAGTTTCCTAGGTCACAGCTTGGTTTTATTCTCTTATCAGTGACCTACAGAGATAATCAAGGATTATTGTGGATTCAGCATAATCCACAGGGCTTTACTATAGCTTCAAGTTGAGGATGCTCATTTTTTAAATACATAGCCATCAAAAATAATGTGTCTGTCTTGAGTGTCACCCCAGCATGAGAGGATTAAACAACCAAAATACAAGAGGATCTGGGACATAAATTATCGTGTTGCTCTTAATGATATTGCTTCTTCACTCAAATGAATTAAAGACTATCCTCAATAAAAAAAACTAAATTCAACATGCTTTGGGTAGCATTTAGTTGCATATAATATTTATAAAATCCTAGAAAAATAAACAATTGTAAAATGATTGCTCAAATGGAAAGATAAAAGAACGTGAAAGTTTCAAAAACCTTTTAGTGAGTATTTTTCTTGCTCTGTCCACTGAAACCTGCCTTTTTCTTAATATTTCTTTATTCCTTAGCATGGCCCTAGACATGATGTTAATTTCTCATATACTATATTAAATTTGTCTCAGATTTTAGGTTAACCTGACAACAAAATAACTTTCCATACAATAAAAACTTTCCAAACAAGGGTTTAAACTATTCGTACAGGGTTACATATGGCTTCTAAATTGGTTTGTAATGCTAAGAACTGTGCTGATCCAGAGAAAAACTGTACCTGTGTAAAGGCAGGAGACCATCTTAATTTTCCTTAGAATCCAATATTCACAATATTCCATTATTCATACCTAAGTTTCTTAGTCAAAAGCAGGAAAACACTATTTAATTGAGAGGGGATTAATTAGGGTTAGTCACTAAATTTTTGTATTCTTTTGTTCTCTTCAACAACAAAAGATTTATCCTCAATTTTTATTCTGACATATATTCAATTCTTATTGTCCAGCAAAGATTATAAAGACAACAAATGACAAAAATGAGGCGTTAGCTTTTATTTTGATCTTCCTAATTACACTGTTAGCACCCGTAAGGCAGAACAAATATCTCCCTCTGCTACCTTTCTTGTTTTATATAGCTGATGGAGTCTGTCTCCCATAAGTAAATAATCAGAACCACAAAAGAATTTACCAAATAAATAAAAGTCAAAAAGCAGGCCAAGGCCACACATTGTGTAATTCCACTGATATGAAATGTTGAGAGGGACAGAGCAGATGAATGGCTGCCAGGGCGGGGTATGGGCTGTTCCTGGATATGGGGTTTCTTTTCCTGGTGATGAAAATGTGCTGGAACTAGAAGGGAGGGGTGGTTGTCCAACACCATGAGTGGACTGGATGCCACTGAACTGTACGCTTCAAAATGGTGAGAGTAATTTATGTTTCATTAATTTTGCCTCAATGTAAAAGAAAAACACAGGCCAGAGTACAAAATTACAAATACCACGTACAGTGTCCATGACCCATTACTGCTCTTCTGCTACTCACACAGCTTCTTTCTCCATCCTTCTCAAACCCCCACCTCTGCCCCGCAAGCACGCGCGCACACACACACACACACACACACACACACACACCTTACTCTAGCTGTGGGCACATTAATAACAGAACAGAACCAGCTGCTTATTCCTGAAATCACCACAGCACTACCAGGGTCAGGCTCTACCAGAGCTCAGGATAACATGAAAGCAGAAAACCCAACCCTAACCTCCTTTGCCAATGTTCTCTACCATTTGTGTTTGCTTTTCTGTTGAGTCTGCACCTAAGAAAACTATCCCAAGAGATGATTATACACAGTGTTTTATAGGGGTCTCCAAATCAGAGCCCCGTCAAGTGATTGAGGGAAGCAAAACCCCCAGAAGGTGGACTGACTGAAGCCCTGCAGAAGAGGAGAGACAGGGAGGCAAGAGGAATGGGAAATTTGGAAAGTTGCGCTGAGAAGAGTCCTCCAGGGAAGGGAAACCTGCCCCTCAGTCAGTTAAGCAAGAGGAAAGTACAATGACTAGCTGTCCACCAGTTCAAGCAACCTCATCCCTCCTAGAAAAGCTGAGTTCTGAGAAACAGTGCAGGGGTTCCTTAGCTATGAATTTCCCATGTCCTGAAGACACTGATCTACTTATTTTTAGAACCCCACTGTCAGATGTTTTCAGAGAAAACCTCCCCCTCATAACCACTGCTTTTCTGTGCAGCTAATTACACTCCCAATGACAATTGTTTGAAAAAGAAATTCTAAGGCAATTAAGTGTAAGAGCAGCACTCAAGCCAAAATGCTGAGTCCAGTGCCTGCCTCATGGAGACAGTCTCTAGACAACAGGGATGTGGAGCCTGTAAGATGCAGAAGCCCTGGAAGGCTAAAGGCACAAGTTAAACAAACAAACAAAAATACCTTGTGAGCTCTTCTTTAATCTTCAAGGGTTCATGTGGGTAGAATTTCACTCTAAAGCACATGGTGTATGGTGGATGAGCTGAAACATCATAAAAAAAAAGGCATGAGATAAGCAGCGGAAAACCACGGACTCCAACACACACAGGGATATCAACTGCAAAGCCTCACACACTACCCTGCTGCTGGGACACAGGAGACAGGAGAGGAAGCAAACAGAAAGCCCAGGGAAACAAAGTGACAGCAAAACTCATAGGAAACGCTGCACAGGACACCTCGGGTGGATGCAGGCTAAGTGACCCAGCCAGTAGGTATCATCCCACGGCACTTTCCACTTTCTGGCACCAAAGATACTTCCTCCTCAGATCAGCCCACCCCAAGGACAGAAAATTACTCCTATGTACCACTCCAGGATTGGGGCTCATGAAGGATTTTTCACTCTATGAGGTAGAAAAATGTCCCGCTACACGACCAGTTTTCCCAAAATGTTGGCACCGCTGGATGAATATTCAGACTTAGAAAGCCAGACTCAAAGGAGCACAGATCCCACCCTGGATTTCTGTCTTATCTATGTTTGAAGCAGTTGCCCCTCTAACAATAAGTACTATTCTATTTTCCTGGCTTGTCTGAATCAAGTCTACGGTATAGACTGCTACCTTGTCAGATTCTTCAAATATCCAGAACTCAAATGATCAGGATTGTCAACACCCTCACTTAGATAAAGCCATTATTGACTTATATTACCCTAATTAAATGCATACAAATGAAGTAAGATGTACTCAGACTGCACTGAACAAAATAAATCATCATTTTAAAATCAATGGGACATGATAGCTAGAATGACTATTTCTACTAATCTTACATACTAGCTCATTTGCCTCAGTATCAATTAGTATAGCTACCAGGGATCAGCTCAGAGTCTACAACCAAATGAGAACATGATTCTGTATCCAATCCTCCCCACATTTCTCTTAAGCAGCGACTGACTCTCCAATGTCTTGTCTGGATGTAGATGCATTCATCAGCTTCAAACATGAACATTTAATGGAGTTCATTTAAAATGGACAATAACTATTAAAAATAATTGGATATCCAAATTACAAGAAAATATAAATCACATTTTGTTACCTCAGGAGAAAAACATGTCTCTCTCTCTCTCTCTCTCTCTTCTCAGGAGTTTGACTCTTTGTTTGATGCCTTACTTCCTAACCAGAAGATGATTCCCTAACTGAGCTGATGCTCCTAATTTGACCCTGTATCCCCTAGACTTCAGAAAGGAAACATTTTTTTCTGAAACACTAGGCAAAAACGAATACCTTCTGTACAGCAGAGAAATGACTTAGAAAAATTCGAGCACTCCTCAAGTCATTCATCTTTCATTATACCCAAAATTCCTGTCTTAGCTCAAAATATTTTACTTTTAAATAACCTCTAGGTTTCCTTTTAATTATTTAAAACACCATCTTCAAATGATTAAAGCTAATGAGTTTTCATTATACAACCTTGGGATTGCCTTTAATCACAAGATTGAGACAATGTTTATAAAAAACAACAAAACAAAAGATGGGATTAACATGTAAGAAAAGGAAATTTCCCTTCCATTTTCTTCTTTATCTTTTACTACTCCTCTAAATTATTACACATTTAACACAACCAATTCAAGCAAATGATAGACAGATGATAGACAGGCAGGCAGACGACAGATGATCAACAGACCAACAGACAGACACACAGACAGATGACAGGCAGGCAGATGCTGGCAAACCCTTTTTCCTGTCCTTCACTGTGTTATTACTGCCCCTGCCTCTCAGATCTCTCGAACCATCCCCTCCAACTCTCCTCCATTCGCTACCTCATCCAATTATTCTACTGCTGTTGGCATCCTTGCACAAATATATCTGATTATGTATGTGGAGGAATTTTAAATTTTATTTGCTCAAAATGAAATTACATCATACACATTTCTCTTGTTTTTCTTACTAAACTCTACATCTTCTCCCTCCAGGACAGTGAATAGAAATCTAACATTGTCACAGTTCATAGTATAAACTAACCAGATTTTACTCAACTCTTCCCTTAAAGTTATTATTCAGATTTTTTCTATTTTTTGCCCCTTGAATAATTTTGTTATGTATCTATCTACCTATTGATGCACAGATCATGAAGTACTCTTGTCTTTTATTTATATTTCTATAATACAGACTCCCAACATTGCTGGATCAATAGATATGAGAGGCCTCCCCAAGAAGCAATCCCTAACTGTGAACCAGCTTCATGTGCGGGCTGGCAGCAGCGGGGGGACAGCCAGACCCTGGCCTCTTCCAGCACATAGGCTAAAGAACAAGAAGAGCCAACCACCACCCCTCTGCCCCCCATAAGTGACCAGCTGATCTGGAAATACACAGGCTGTGAGGATGGTTATTGGACTGAATTGCAGTTTGATGCTTGTAGTGTTTAGTGTTTTACTGACCTTGAAGGTCTAGGACCAGTGGTCTGGTCATCTATTCATAGGATAGTAACATGGAATGTAGCATCTATGGGGAATCTCATTCTGAAGGTGGTAGCCATTGTTAATTATCCTGTTTTGAAGTCCTGTACCATTTTCATTGTTTTGTTGGGTTGGGTTTTATTCTGTTTTGTTTTATTTGATTTTGTTATATCTGATGGCAGGAGCAGTTATTTCAAAGATAGCAAGATATATTAGGGTAGCCATTTTGGATACACTATAGTCGTGTTTTGAAGTACTTTATTGCATTCATTGTTTTGTTTTAATGGTTCTGTTCTGTTTTGTTGTGTTCTGTTCTGTTTGTTTTTCACTATGTCTGAAGGTATCTGCAGCTATTTTGAAGATAACGAGACACTATGGTAACCATTGTTGATTTCATATTGTTTTGAAGTCCTGTATCACTTACACTGGTTTCTTTTTATTGGCTTTATTCTGTTTTATTTTCCTTGGGTTTATCTTCTTTAAAATAAAAATAAAAATTTTTTTAAATATGGGAAAATGTTCTAAAGGAAATAGCAAAAATAAAATCAAGTATCAGAGAACAGTTGGGGGAAGGATAATCACAAAGTATGTCCCCCAAATGCAAGCTGTCCTTTCTGGGAAACCTATTTGCTTACCAAGCCAGGGGGCTGGTTTCATGAGGTTGGTCACACTCACATCGGACTCCAGCTTTTCCTCAGTGTGAGTGTGGAGGTGGAGAGGCCAGAGGCAGCTCCTCAAGTCGCCATCCTGGAACACCTCCAAGTGGACAAAACCCTTCCACCTCCATCCCACTCCCTGCCTGCAGGTCCAGCAGCACCCAATGCTTCTTTCGCAGGGACAGCCCTGCTGTGAGAGCTGGACTGCAAAGGCCCCTGTGTTCTCCCATTTCCTTCCATCTTCCAGTGTGTGGTCACTGAAGTAATAACGACATGTTCATCACTGGACCCATTATCAAAGGAGGAAGTGAAACTAGTGTAGAAAAATCAGGAAGAAGTACTTTTCAAGTTCAAAATACTCTATTTTTTTTGTTGTTGTTGTATCATCACATACCCACACTGTGCTGTTCACACCCATCCAACATCATTTTCCTCACATGGCCAATAAAAGGAAAAGAACTTCCACCTAAGTCTGAAGGAACATCCCATTCCAGCACAGTGAACCAGGAGGAATCGCAGGGATGCACAATGACAACTGCAGCCTTGTGACCAGACCTGGGGACAAGAGTGGCTGAGCACAAACATGTCGATCTAGTCCTGGGCAACAAGACACACACGGGTCTGAACCCGCATGTCTTTTGGGCTGGTTACCCAAAAAGAGCCGTGCTCTGCCGGCCTGGCTGAATGATGAAGGCTGAACCTCCAGCCCTAGGCTGATGCTGTCCAGAGGGACTGCCAGGTCCTGCTGTCACTATCATGTCTGGATTTCTCTGACAAGATCAATATACTCATGTAGAAGGACCATAGTCTGACTTGCAAGTCCAAGGATGTGTATTCTGAAAACTTCTAATCTTACATCTCAACTTCTATTTTGCCACTTAACATCTGGCACAATTCAGATTCTCTGGACTAGATTATAACACACATAGCTATTTCCAGAGAGACTACTTCACTCACTTTCAAAATTTAATTTATGCAACATTTAATAACTACTAAGCCCCATTTTAAATATACAAATAACAACAGCTATGAAAAGACAAAAATCTGTCTCCCATGGAGGAAACATTCCAGGGGGGAAAACAGGTATAAAAACTAAAATAGCTGACATATGTAGGTCATTAGAAGGTTGTATGTTCTGTGGAGAATAAATCATAAAGGACACAAAAACCAGTGATGAGAACAGTCATCACAGTGGTCCATCCCCAATCAGTGGAGGGCAAAAAGGGTAGAGGTAACACCAGACCCCTACAGCAGGAACCCCAGCAGTGCCCGGGGCTTCCTGCCCTACTTCTCTGTTTTTGCTTTGGAAGAGGGGATGGCACAAGCTACCATTGTGTGTCTCCTGGAAATGTTTGGGCAGATCCAATGGGTTCTGGAGTGTGTACCCAGGGAATTAATCTACATGAGAGATTCTGCTTTGTTGAGACAAACATTCCTAGCAGAAGAGAAGGAAACGGGAGGTGGAAATGGGAGGGAAGGGATGGGGAAACACTGAACTGAGTTCAGCCCAACAGCTGTAAAGCATTTACTCTGCCTTGTAAGCACTAAAAACAGATAATACCACTAAGCACCAGAGAAGGAGGAAAAAAATGTGAAACCCACGTTTAAAATGCCAAGAGCGTGTAATCACTCTGACAACAGCAGGGCTCTTCTCTCCAGTGCCTGAGGATTGCCAGATGAGGCTGAGGAGGCCAGGCTTCTCCTCCAGGCACCTTGGTAGCCCCTTTTGCATCAGCAGATCCTGAGGTAAGGTCATTTCAATAGTAGGTTACCAGTGAGAGCAGGGAGAGAGGTACTTCCGCTCATGAAGCAGAAACAGATCTTCTCATCTCTGCACTGAGATCACGCCCAGGAATGGAGCTGGGCAGAGGAAATGATTATTTGAGCAGACTCTGGGTGGAAATGAGAAAAAGGAGTTTATACTCTTAACCAACAGCC